CCCCCCACGCACCACAGTGTTCCAGTGACAGGCCAGATACAAGTACATATCCGTTCGCGGACGGAACATCCGTTCCGTTCATGTCATGTCCGTGACATCCAGTTCACGGACAGCATTCGCTACAAGGACAGCAGTTCCTCTGCAGGGCCTGGGGTGGGTTCCAGTGCCTGGAATGTTCTGTCTCTTACTCTGAGTGCTAGTTACAGGGCTGCGTATATTTTGCGACGGTTCATCAAGCTCTGTGCTTGAGAGTTGTTTGCTTTCTTTGCCTGTTCTTTATGCATGGTGACATAGTTTTTGGAATTTTTTTTTTCATGGATGTTAGGCCTCCATACAAAAAGTTTGTAACCAACCCCCCCCCCCAACTGGGGGGAGAGGGGGGAGGTGTGCCATCTGCCTCCGAAGTCACGTACGTTCCACAAAGGGTCCCTGACCATGAGATTGGACGTTTTTTGTTTTTTTTTTTTAACTTCGTATGTTCTGACCGGACCTGGCTGGTTTTACAAATTCAGCCCAATTGGCTGGAAGCTTCTATCGTCTTAACGACTCTGGAAACGTCCCCAACCCAGGCTCCTTTGCTCCCCCAGGATTTTTTCCGTCCTCTCTGCCATCCTGTACCTGGGCAATGTCACGTACAAGAAGAGAGCCACGGGCCGAGACGAAGGTCTGGAGGTCGGGCCCCCCGAGGTGCTGGACACGCTGTCACAGCTCCTGAAGGTACTGCTTGCTGGGCTCGGCCGTGGCTGCGCTTCTGTGAGCCAGGGCTTGTCCGCCTGCTTCCTCCCTGCCATCTGTACAAAGCCTCTTCCTCGTTTCTGTTTTTCTCTCTCTCTCTCTCTTTAAGTGAAGTATAATTGCCCTCCAACATCGCGTTAGTTTCAGGTTGCAACATAATGATCCGCTATTTGTATGTATTGCAAAATGATTACCACAGTAAGTCTCGTTAACATCTGTCACCATACATCATTCCAGTTTGGGGGGTTTTTTTGGTGTGTGTTTTTGTTTTTTTTTAGATTCCACATACGAGTGAGATCATACGGTCCTCGTTTTGCTCTGTGTGATTTATTTCACTCAGCGTAATGCCCTCAAGGGCATCCCTTCTTTATTTTTAAAGGGCTGCCTCCTGGGCATGGCTGCCTCCCCCCTCAGCCCCTCCTGTGAAAGGCCCTTTAAAGCCATACTTTGATCAGCAAGGTCATTTTCTCATTGGACCTGCCGGTCCCTTATCCACCGGCACTCAACCCCCCACCTCTAGCTTGTGGAGGGGGCTTGGTGGTCAGGAGGGAACAGGCCAGGAGCCCACGCCTTCAGCGACATCTATAAATGCAGGTTGGCAGGCTGCACACGGGCCCGCAGTGACACCTGGGCCCATGTGACCATACTCCCAGGGCCATCGAGCCTGTGGGTGTAACGGTTCTGAAACCCAGCGAGCATAGCACACAGCACAGGGTGGGCGGAGGCACGCTTTCGGTACAGATGCTGGGGGTCCTTCTCTCACCTTCCCTGGTGACAGGAGGACCTGCCCAACAAGCCCTCTATCCCCCGTCCCTTTCTCTCCCTCCCGGACTTCGAAACAGGTGAAGCGAGAAATCCTGGTGGAGGTTCTGACCAAAAGAAAAACCGTGACGGCCAATGACAAACTCATCCTTCCCTACAGTCTCAGCGAGGTGAGCGCCACCCTGGGCTCTCACGGGGCACCAGGCCCCAAACCATGACTTAGGGTGGGGGCTTTGGAAACAGCCAGCCTGGATAGTCTTTTTCCGATGTTTAAAGTGACAGAGGAGGAGGCGCCTGGGTGGCTCCATTGGTTGAGCATCTGCCTCTCGACTTCAGCTCAAGTTATGGTCCTGGGGTCTTGGGATCGAGCCCTGCATCAGCCTTCGTACTGATGACGGAGCCTGCTTGAGATTCTTTCTCTCTCTCTCTCTCTCTCTCCCCCTCTGCCCCCC